ATTTTAAAAACAAATAAATTTTTTCTGAAAAGTTTTATATGAACAACTCTTAGGTGCGTCATAATACCTCCCCCTCCCTTATAGAAAATTCAATATAAAAGATCTTTTATTGACAAAAAAGCAAAGAGCTAAAATTGTATGATTATCTAATACATCATCTATCGCTATTCATAGAATTTATATAATCATCATATTCTTGACTAATATCTTCATATCTAAGCTCTGCTATATTCTCCAAATAATCAAGAAAAAAAGAAACATCCATTTTTGTATTAAAAACGCCAATATACGTATCATAAACCTTTTCCAAAATATTACTTATGCAACAATGTACTAAAAAATACCTAAAGTGCCTAACTATATTACTTCTATTTCTACTCCAATTATCATTATTTCCTGTAGACCAGGCCAAATACCATGAAAAGGTCTGCCAAATGTGCTCGCCTTTCAGGAATAATATCATTATTACCGACAAAAAACTCATAATCACCATCGATTATTTCTTGGATAGATGAATCAGTGATGACAAAAAAATGGCCATTTAATTCATTGTATAATCTTTCGTCATTAGGATGTCCATAATTTTCTTAGTGAGGGGTATAACTTGCTCCAAGAAAAGCTCATATAATTTTTTGAGATCTTTTTTTCTAAAGAATCGATAACAAAAATCATCGTCGTAAGATTCACCAATAAATATTCTGCTGTTAATCATGTCAGCATCATAAGTATCATCAGGACTTAAAGGTCAATGAGTTATTTCCATCTTAAAGAAACATAAATCTAAAAATTGATTACTAGACAAACATTTCACCAAACCAACGTTTAAATATTTTCTTAATCATTATCATATTTATAAAATTTTTATACTCAAGAAACAAAATCACTATTATGTTTTTTTTCCATTATTAACACATTTGGATATGTCTAAAATGACTTTTAAAATAGTGGCTTTTTTTGCGCCAATATCCATTGTCATCGTATTTGTCAATTCAAAAATATTTAAGCTATTGTGAACAGTACTGAGATACAATAAGGATACTATGAATGTAAATCAAAAATGACACTTTTCAATGCTTTTATTTTCATTAGGTCGTTTCAACCTGGATATACTGTAATAAATATATTGTTTATTTCTGTTCATTTAATTTGTGCAAAAAACAATACATGGGCAATGAATTTTTAATACTGGCTTTAATTTCTAAAAAGAATAGTTATTGATGCAATAAATGGCACCATTTCTAATAGATCACGTTTTAGCGTTTTATGGAACTGACACTTATTACATAAATAATATGAACTTTAAATGATTGGTTATTTAAAGCTTGCAATGTCAAAAGATTGATTATTTTAGAACTTATAATTGTGCCAAAATACTGACTCTGAGGGATTATATTTACGAAATGTGTCTATTCTTTAGGTTATGCTTCATATATCTCAAATTGAAGAAGCATTTTGTGAACAGTATTTTATATTAGCGTCAAAAACAAAAAGTCATGACAGCAATTGGTGTTTATTATTTGCATGAGGGCAAAGTATTGTTCTTAAATTAAATTAGTAGTAAAATCCGAGATTCTTATTGTTATCTGAATTGTTCGCAATAGTTTAAATACCAATTTTAAAGCACAATATAAATGAATATTGATGTGAAAAAAGCTACTATTTCAATAGTTGTTTTAGACGTAGCCAATTGTGTTAGGGAACTAAGGGAACCAACACTTATTACATAAATATAGCCCCAGAGTCAGTCGTTTGACACAATTGTTTAAAATAATCAATCGTTTGACAATTACAAGTTCTAAAGTAATCAATAATTTTTAGAACCTGGTGTGTCAAACGACTGACTCTGGGGTCATATTTACGTAACAAGTGTTAGATCCCTTAATAATAGCGAAAAAAATGTAATAATGGTGAATTATAAAAATTTTATAAATATGATAATGATTTAGAAAATATTTAAACGTTGGTTTGGTGAAATGTTTGTCTAGAATCAATTTTTAGATTTATGTTTCTTTAAGATGGAAATAACTCATTTATCTTTAAGTCCTGATGCTGACATGATTGACAGAAGAATATTTATCGGGAGCCTAATGATGACGATATTTTTAATCGATTTTTTAGAAAAAAAGATCTCAAAAAATTATACAAGCTTTTTTTGGAGCAAGTTATACCCCTCGCTAAGAAAATTATGGACATCTCTCATCACCCTAATGACGAAAGATTATACAATGAATTAAATGGTCATTTTTTTGTCATCACCGATCCATCTGTTCAAGAAATAATCGATGGTGATTATGAGTTTTTTGTTGGTAGTAACGATTTTATTCCTGAAAGACATTGTATTCGTGGCCGCATTCGGCAAACATTTTTATAGTATTTGACTTGGTCTGGAGGAAATAATGATAATTGGAGTAAAAGTAGGAGTAATATAGTTAGGCACTTTAGATATTTTTTAGTACATCGCTGCATGAGTAATATTATGTTGGCATCTTTAATACAGAAATAGATGTTTCTTTTTTTCTTGACCATTTAAAGTATATAGCAGATCTTAGATTCGAAAACATTAGTCAAGAATATGTTAATTATATAAATTCTATGAATAGATGATGTGTTTAGATAATTAATCATTTGATAGTTTCATCAAATAAA